TTCAACCAAACGATGAGAATTTGATTACTGTATTCCTCTTATAAATCTCAGCAGGATCAGTTTATCCTATCTTACACTTGACATGCCACAGAAAGCAGATGGGCGAAACTATAACTGGAGGGGAGGTTAGGGCGCCACATGAAGCTTATATATCATTGGTGAATTTGTCTCTCACACATGTGGGCAGGATAGCTCAGAGACAGCCTCCCACTCTGTACAGATCCACTGCTGATGCTGATGATACCCAGAATGCCCTTTAACAAAAGTTTATTCTTTCTTGCAGCTGTCACTATTAATCTCCAACATCATCTTCTGATGGCAAAGGAGGCATTTATTATTTAGAAAGTCAGGCAAAAGCCCTTCCATGTACTCATGTTCCGAACTCCCAGAGATTGGTAGGCTACGCAGAAGGTTAAAGCAAGAGACTGTTTCTCTGAGGCCATGATAACCACGAAGTGGCCTCTGAAAGCAGAGCTGGCTTTAGACATTTTCATACCAGAAGCAACATCAAAACACATGTTTTGTTCACCAACGACAGTCCCTATTTCCCAGCACCTTCCCTTGATGAATCTCTTTCGTTATTTTGGCCTTTTTTCCCCTTTGGAAATGCCTTACAAAAATTAGTGTTTTGGTGTTTTTCTTCAGAATGTAAATCTCGGGAACAGGGAAACAGATTACCATATTGTGTGCCAATGCAGGCACAAGAACACAAAGGCACCACGCTTTTGTGCAAGGCCTCCCAATTTGCACATTGCAGCTGCTGAGCTGTATTTTGGAACTTATGACAATCTTATTGGGAGTACAATAGATTTTTAACCAAACAAATATCCTCTTCCCATCAGAGACAGGCATTTGCAGATTTTACGACAAAAGACCAAAACCTTCAGCTATGTGTAGTTAGTCAGGGATGGAGGAGACCAGGGCAGTAAAACTTGGGTCAGAGAATATGGGTGCTTGCTGCTCCTATTTCCCTCTGCGAAATGGTGGAGGACTTGAAAATAGTATATTTTCTCTCTGTCTTAAAAATCTATCGACATGGAAGTTGGAGGCAAAAAATGACACTCCGACATATTGCCAAATCTGCTTAGATTTCCATCCCCTCCGCTTAGAAGCTTCCCAAAGTCCAAGGCTGAACATATTTTGTGAGCACTGTTAAGACCTGTTTAGACTGGCTTTTGGAGATCTGGCAGAGTTTATTTTAGTATTGTAATTTTATTAGGTTTCATTGCATTTTAATAGGCGTGGGTATGTGCGTGTTTCTGTCTGAAGCCTTTAGGGTGAGCTGTAAATTTGAATCAATACATGGAATGAGCTTCTAATACAGGTAAGCGAACTCTTTCTTCAACCTAGCTTTCCCTTAGGCATGGTTTAAGGGGGACCACAGTGGAATGTTTCAGAGAGGTTTCCTGATGGCTTTGGTTAAATGCAGCAAATAATATAAGGGAAAAGAATTAGAAAATAGATATAAGTATCACTTCCTTAGAGACTTCCAAACCTACACTCCCCACACCTTGTATATTAAATTGATTTATAGGCCAGTAAATGCAAAACCTCACATTGCTAAATAGCTCTCCGGGGATCCCTTAGTAAGATGGGAATAGCTTATGCAATTTGCATAATTGGTTGGTTGGATAGGGCTTTTGTTTTTAAAAGTCATGCTCTTTAACTAAGGATAACCAATTTGGGATATTTGGGCAGCAAAAGAATTAAGTGCAAAGGATGCTGAGTTATGTTGCCCACCAGTAAGTGCTCAAGTATGAAGCCATTTCCCCCCCTGCTGATATTCCTTTCCTTTCGTAGTCTGGTAACTGAAACTGTCTCTGAAAACAAGGGTGCAATGTGTACTCTGGATTGTTATCAAGTGAGCTGGACTTCTTGAGCCTAACCAATGAAGCAAGCTGGTCTTCCCTTTACTGATAGGGTCAATATCTAAAAGGCTCTCAGTGTACTTCCATACAGGTCTACTCAAAAGCAAATCCCAGTGTGTTCAATGTAACTTAACAGCTAAGAAAACTGAGCAGAATCTCAAATTATGCACCCCTTGCTTAACAAATCATGTTACAGGAAAATTACCTCTCCAGTCATCGAGAGAGTTCTGTTGGGAGAAATTGTTCCTCACATCTCTGGCTGTTCTCCTATGGAGTGCTGAAGAATCCTGTCATTTCTCTTTCTCCCTAACACCTTCGTGAAGCTCCCAAGATCATCCAAAGAACAGGGTTGAAGTGTCATCAACATGCTGACAACACCCAGGCTTCTTTTATATCAGATTCAGGTGCTGCTTCTTTCCTGGCGACTGGCTGTGTGGGGCAGAGTGGAACAACCTTAGGTGGAATCCAGACAACACAGAGGTAACACTGGTCAGAAATCCACATTAGCTGGAGGAGACCCATCTGTGTTTGCCATATCCTGGAAAGACCCTCAATTCCCAGATGGAAACTGTGGCCGGAACTAAATATTTTCCCAAGTAAAAAAGATTATCATTGGAGAACAAGGTTTTTGGAACCTATTGCCCATGCTTTTGTCAACATCCAGGTTTGAAACTGAGGAACTTTGAAAGAAACCACTGCTGACACAACACAGCAGCCCATTTGAAGGATATGCAATAACTTATCATTTGCTTCTGGTTACCATTTTTAAGATCATCAACAGCCCAAGCCTCATCTTGTATGTACATTCTAGAAGAATGGACAAAGATTAAGAGACACATTTGCAATTCCTGCTCTGGCCCCACCTACTTTTCTATCTGGCCACATCCACTGAATGAATGTGAGCCCTAACAGTTTTGGGATGATAATACCGTAACATGGGCCTTGGCTTGGGGGGGGGGATCCTCATCTGCCCCATTGCTGCCCCCTGGAGAGGCCCTGATCCAAGTTTTAACTTAGGATGTATTAACTAGCAAAATGGCACCCATGTTGAGTAGGGCCTATACAGTATTCCTTCCATGGGGGATGTTACCCATTCACTCCCATCCCTGCCTTGAGAAGCAAGTCAAAATGTCTTTGTTGACCCAAGCTTTCCAGTTTTCATAGGCATTCAGGCTTCTTCAGTTGGATCATTTACTCTTGTTAATTTGTTAAAGCTTTGCCATAGTTTGAGTGGAAGCTACTCTGGTTTTACACAGAAAGATGGGTTATAAAATCTACATACCTGTCAATACTTTTCTTGCCCTGTGACTGGCTAATTTAGGAATGTGGCCTAGTTTATTTTGTCTTGACACAGAACCCCCCTTTCCTGCCTTTAAGAGTATAGACTATAAGCAGCAATAAAATAAAATATACCAAGCTTCTGCAAGATTCCTTGCAGTATCTGTGAGAAGGAACTTGCATGGTGTGGTAGTACTGGAAGCTGCAGTATAGAATGATCTTTCCCTCATCAGCTGCCTTGGTGTACCCCAGAGTCTGTACTTGCTCTACTTTTATGGTGTTTGTAAACTCTAGCACTCAATACAACGTACCAGGGACAGGTAAGGTTGAAAAATGGAAGGAATCTCTATTGGTCTGAGGGAAACAACATCTCAGTCATCCTTCAATGGAAATTGTAGCTTCTCTAGAAAAGTTAAAGAGATAATGGAACATCAACCAGGGGTGGGAGGGGTGTTGGGAAGCTGCGGCCTTCCAGATGTTGCTGGATTCCAACTTGAATCATCAATAGCTACACTGGCAATGCTGTCTGAGGCTGTTGGGGGCTAGTAGTCCAATAACACCCGGATGACCACAAGTTCTTCACCCCTGGTCCCCACCCTGAATCTAATTGTGGGTGGTTGACTGCTTCAATGCCCCAAAAACTTCATTTATCTAGAGTAGGGGTAGGGAACGTCTGGCCCTCCAGATGCTGTTGAGCTACAGACATCCCATCATCCCTGACCACTGGCCATGCTGGCTGAGGCGGATAGGGAGCTGGAGTCCGAGAACAAAAAGTGTCGCAGGTTAGCCACTCCTGATCTATAAAGCAGGCTAGGAGTTCAGAAAAGCCATTCTGATTTTTGACACCCCAGTAACCGCTGATTTGGCCAATACCTGAGCAAAATCCTCTCCCTGCCTTTCCTTCTCCCAGTAGCCCAGTATTGCACTGGGTTGGCATAGAAACCACATCAGGGCCAGGCACCACACAGCAGCAGTTACATAAGCTCAAGGAAGGAAAGGAGGAAATAAAAATAAAGAAGCAACTCTTCTTAAGGAAGATGCACGGAGGCCACAAGGGATAACTAGCTCAGGAGGAAAGGTGCCCACTCACACAGAGTTTAAAAGGCAGCAACTCCCTGAAGTCAAGGCAGCGGGAAGAACATCCATATCAAGCTGATATCTAGCAGAAGCACTGGTCCCTCGTGGACAACTTTTGAGTGATGCTCTGTTTAGAGTCTTGCCACTTGCGTAATGGGTGCTAAACTTTGGTCTCTTCCATGTGAAGAGTTTTATTCCCAGGAACACCTAAGAAAAAAAGAAAACCCAGTAATTTCTTTTCTTCTCTGTTTTGAGATTGCCAGCCCCTGGGGGGGGAGGATGCTTCGTGTGGAGCACAACTCCTTGGGGCAGGGAGAGAAAGTTCTGGACCCGGAGGGATAAAAGCACCAGCAGATGGGAGGGACACTCACTGTGGCTTTTCCTCCCCACCAAAATGGCAGACCCATTGCAGAAAAACAAAAACAAAAGACAGGCTGACATTAACACTCTTACCTGTGTCCCTTCCTTCTGTAGCACCAGTTTCAGCCTCCCCAAAGGCTACCAACAATGCCATGGAGTAGTTCAGCAGCTCTTTAACAAACCAGCAAGTCAAAACCGCCCCTTGCATACATTCTAGAACAGGAGAGTGCCATTCACAATCCTCTCCTTAACTTTCTAACCGACAAGGATTCTTTCAGAAAGACCCTTCCCGCTCCATAAGAGCAATCCTAGGAAGCCAACATCCTCTATACGTTTCAGGTCCCAAGGTGGGGTGGCGTGGGGGGGGGAGCGCATTGGCTGCTGATGGAGGCATGCGACTGGACACCAGAGATTGAAGGCGTCAGAAACACTTTATTGCTGCTACCCTGAACTGCTCCTGCTGGCTTTACTGTTTGAGGAGCCGCACAGAGATTCAGCCAAGAGATGGAAATTTTTGACTCACGCGCAGCAAGCAGAGAGTTTGGAGAGGCTGGGCAGCAGCCCTAATCTGACCTGGCTTTAGCAAAAGATGTCACCGACTGAGGAATTGCAGAGGGAAGCTGTTTAGTTAGCACTGTGGCTACTCTCTAAGGCCGCTTTACATATCTGCAGTCCTTACTCTCCTATGGAGCTGGCAGGCTCTTTCGCTGGCTTTCTTTCCTGTTCTTATTGGCAGTGAAGAGGAGGAAGAAAAACGCACTCCCGTTAATTTCCCCTGGGCACTGAGCTACCTAGTTAACTGGGCGCAATGGAGCCTACTGGGGATCCCTGTAGGGGAGCTGAATGCTTCTACAGTACCCTTGATACCAATGAGAAAGTCCTGCTCTTCCTTGAGAAGCAGGCCTTGGCATTTGCTCACAAATGTAGTAACAATCAATCAATGACAGCAGTCCACAGCAACTAAGAGGTTAAAGCCGGAGAATGTTTGTTCTCAGCCACAGTGATGGAACAGGTAAGGGTAGGACTGCCACCTGGTGAACAAAGTGAATACAGCAGTACTGAGACAGAATTGGCAACAGACAAACTAACTTGTAAGAAATCACAGAACACTTCCCGTAATTGTTTGTCTCCCAGATGTAAAGGCTGGTCGAATGGTCTTTGAGCACATTATATAGAAAGGATGACTTAAGTGTGAACCATGAACTCAATCCGATCTACTGCTCGGCCTTCCTAATGCCAAAAAAGAGTGCCTAGGTGGGGGAAGGTCTAGGTGCAGCTTTAAGGACCACTATCAAGCAGCTCCCTCTCCCTGTGAATGGTAATGGGCAAGTGCTAGCAGAGGACTTTGAAGACGAGCCATTCAGGGTTCTTTGCAGCAGCAAAACTGGCACAGCCTCAGTCAAAAACCCACTGGGGAAAACCCACTACATTCGAAAAAGCTTGAATCCCAGGAGCCTGAGGATACAATTCCACTCACTAACAAGGCGGTTTGGGGAAGGGTTCAGATAGAAAGTGGGGTCAATCAGAGGAAACGTTTATCAGCTCTGAGCTGTAGACCCCAGACAGTGGCAACCTCTACTACTTCTGTATGTAGAATAAGCCTTCAATATCATTCTCCCACCCCCACCCCACTGCATCAACCCATCCAACCGCTCAGCCACGGTTGGCCCCGCAGCAGGTTCTGCGGGTCGTGCTCAGCACAGACCAGCTGGCTCTCAAAAGGCAGTAAGTCTGGGATACATGTTTGGTGGGCTGCAACTGTGAAAGCAGGTCAGACCCATTTTTCAAGGTTCCTGAAGCCGTGTGATCTGGGGCAAAGTCTTTGTCATCCCTTTAAGGGCAAGGAGGCCATCAGAACGAACTAGGATCCAGCCCTTTCGAGCATACAGGAGGGGGGCGGGGAAGCACATTCAGGTCTTCTATAATTATGAGGAAAGCAATACTTAGCCCCACTGGCTTCCCGTGTTCCTGACTGCTCCATACAAGAAGAGAGGAGAAGCAGACACGGCAGGCAGCCTCCACCTCTGAGAAAAGGTGATCTGCCTCCTGTCTCAGCCCATTTCACAGCTGTGATAAGCTGGGAAGGGCAAGATTAATCAAGAAGCTGCTTGATTTGCAACTTCCAAACCCCTCTCCTGTTGAGAAGTTTCAGCTGAAACAGTGTTCAGCTCTTCACACCATGGATTTGTTAAGGAAGAAAAAGGAAGGGGAAAACAGGATGCCTGTATAGGATTTCAGGAATTAATCCTTAGCAAGCACTTTTTATAGATTCCTATCCCTGTAGGAAACAGGCCTTCAGTTATCTGAGATCAAGGCCAGCAGCCTGGCATCGCTACCTGGTGGTGCATAGAACTATTAACTGCATTTGTCTCAGAAGCACACTGGACACGGGGTAACCTTCTTGTATTTCCACTACCACGTCAGCACAAGCAATTGTTGCTACCATTGGAAGTGACGCTCCCATCTCAGCATCAAGCTAGCAAGGTCTAATTCAGGTACAGGCCAAAGTTCCGTAAATTCCATTCTTTCCAAAAAAACAAAGGGGGAAAAAGAGAGAGAGAACCCATTCGAAAAAGCCAGAGAACTGAAGAGAGGCAAGTGAAGAGGAAGGCCAAGAGGGTTCCCAGCAATTCTTCCCGCACGGTAGCAGAAAGCTCGTAACTTTTCACAGTGCCCACAAGCTCAAAAGGGCACCATAGGGCTTAGGCAGAGTTAGCAAGAGGCTGTGCTGGCGTCTGAGGCAGGTCTGCAGCTGACATCAGGTCTGTAGAAAGCATTTGGCTTGAAGGGTTTTGAGAGTCACCATTTAATCCAGTTTACGTTACAAAAAAAGGAGTGTGCACACTACAAAATAATCTTGATATGGGATATTAACCAGTTTACAGCTTCCATTCTGTGCAGGAAACCTGCTCCAGCGTGGCTGTTCAGAGCCAATGGGACACCACGGAAGCCTCTTGCACCCTAGGCATGCTGGGAGTCCAGGATAGCCTGCAGGGATCCCCCAGGAAATGGAGTTAAGATGCAGCCACCAGTTCTGGCTTTGGTTTGACTCTGACCGGCGATGTTTCTGTAAATAGAAGGAAAAAGGAAGGTGTTAACTTTCTTGGCTGGAGTTAGAGCTAACCAAATTCAGACCAATGGTTTATCTAGTCTTACAGATGGTCTGTCTTGCTACCTGCTCCCTTTAGAGGAGACAAAGGAGATGCTATGCAAGCAAACACTCCCAATCCCACAGCAACATCTCTCAAACATATCTTCATGTTTGAGGGAAGACTGTGATTTTCCATTTGAAATGCTCCTGAATGTCTGTATACTTGTGCCAAGAGCAGGAACACTCCCTGTCGCTGGCCTGATATAGTTCTACGCCTTGTATGTTCTAAGGGCGGCCAACAAGGAAGTTGAGATAGTACTTTCCCCAAATCTCTCTGGAGAGTTCTGAAGCTGTATTCCTCAGCTGATGAGAACAACTGCACTGTACATGCCCACTTCAGGTCCAGCCCCAGCCTTTTTAAAAGGAGGGAGAGACAGTGGTAAGGTATATTGAAGTTTATGTCACAACAGAAGCTGGGCCAAACTGCACCACATACAAGTTTATTACAGGAGGCAGAGGCAAGAGATTCTGCAGAGAAAGATGAAACTACTACGGTACCAACAAGTGAGGATATTCTTCCAAGTTGTGGAGGATATGATATAACACTATACTGGCTAATATATCGTGTGCCTCCTCCTCGAGAGGTCCGGAGGGTGGCAACACGAGAACGGGCCTTCTCTGCAGTGGCTCCCTGTCTGTGGAATGCTCTCCCCAGCGAAGTTCGCCTGGCGCCTTCATTATACACCTTTAGGCACCAGGCAAAAACATTCCTTTTTAACCAGGCCTTGGGTTGACCTGATCAACATCCCATACCCTTTTAAAATGTGGCTCTTTTGGGGGGCGTATTATTGGGTTATTGCTTTTATTTTTATTTTATATACTGTGATCTTTTTATGTGAACCACTCAGAGACCTCTGGGTATAGGGTGGTATACAAATTCTATAAATAATAATAAAATAATAAAGGCAGCTTTTGTTATTTGTTTCTTTAGAGGTCCAGGAATCTGTATGGCTTACACATTGATTGCTGAGTGCTCCCTATGCCCTATATAACTTCCAGTTCCCAAGCCAGTCATTTTTGTGCACCTATGGCTGCTCACCTCCACTCTTCACAAGTCCACTACCTTGTATTTCAGACTGAGTTTGTTTTTAAACACCCAAACCAAACACCAGTTGTATGGCTACAACAGGGTTTTCAACCAGAGCTTGGCCTCCTTTTTTTGTTTTGTTCAATCATCATCTGTACTGTGAATCCACTCTCCTCACCCTCCTCATACTGGGATAGTGCAACTGATCTAACTTATACTTGTTGTGAAAATCATAGGGACGCGGGTGGTCCTGTGGTCTAAACCACAGAGCCTAGGGCTTGCTGATCAGAAGGTCGGCAGTTCGAATCCCCGCGATGGGGTGAGCTCCCTTTGCTCGGTCCCTGCTCCTGCCAACCTAGCAGTTCAAAAGCACGTCAAAGTGCAAGTAGATTAAGAGGTACCGCTCTGGCGGGAAGGTAAACGCCGTTTCTGTGCGCTGCTCTGGTTCGCCAGAAGCGGCTTAGTCATGCTGCCCACATGACCCGGAAGCTGTACGTCGGCTCCCTCGGCCAGTAAAGTGAGATGAGCGCCGCAACCCCACAGTCGTCCGCGACTGGACCTAACGGTCAAGGGTACCTTCACCTTTACCTTTAATACACATGAAGGTCTTTGGACCTTTTAAAGCACTCTACAAATGCCAAGTGTTGGGCTGTAGCATGATTACATATAGTAAAGCTTTGGTGGAGTCTGACATAGTCAGTGCTCTCCAGCTGCTTTAAGAGCGCTCTGCGGAGTTGGTGCTTGCATATCACCTGCCAACCTTATTCTTAAATCTCCCATGTGCCACGTGGTTCATGCAGGCACAACCAAAAGCACAAGCCTGCACAACTGAGGGAAAGAAAACAAGACAGACAACGCTACCTGGAATCTTTTCTGGGAGAGGCTCTGATGGAACCTCTGGAAGATCTATCTGTTCCTGCAAGAAAATAAGTCACACTGTGAAACAAATGTTCTGGGGATAACAAGCAACTCTAAACCAGAACTTCTGAAAATTTGGCTGGGCTCTAGAGCTTTGGTTCTGGGTTACTAACAAGATTCTAGCAGCACTTTTGCTTCCTTGGCGAGTTACCCTGATTAATCATGTTGGGTGGCAGCTATTGGTCTGGGAATATAACTGTGTCAATCTATTCATTCATTTATTTAATGGATTTATATTCCATTTTGAGAAAGTCCTCCACAACACGACTTATATCATGTTTACAGTACGGAAGCAACATTAACCATGGAATCAATGCCAGCAACAGGACCACAATCCAAATTCCAATAAGCAGCTGCTCTCTATGAGTCACATTAAAAGCTTTGGAAAAGAGAAAGGTCTTTAAGTCCTCTTTAAAGGATACAAGATATGGGGTCTGTCTGATCTCCAAGGAATCAAATTCCATAACTGCAGGGCCACCATTGTGCCCTAGTCTGAGCACCTGCCAGCTTGATTGCTTTCACTGGCAGACACTGAAGCAGGCTATCCAATGAAGATCTCAAGATATGGGCAGGGCAGTATGAGCGTAGGTAGTCTTTTAAGTAATCCAGTTCCAGGCAGCTCAGGGCTTTAAAGGTAATAACCAGAACTCTGAATTGGGTCTGCAAAAGCTTTGGCAGCCAGTGCAACTGTTACAAAACCATTTATGTTCTGATTGCCTGGCACCCACCAGTAATCAGGCAACCACATTTTGCACTTGCTGCAGTTTATAATATGCTCATCTGTGCACTCTGATAAGCAATGGAATTTTGTGGAAAGCATCAAAAGACTAATATTTTGAATGCTTTACAATCACCACCAGATATGTGGTGGAGTTGGATATTAGGCAGCAGGGGTTCCACAAACTTTGGCTTTGGTGGTCAACCCAAAAATTAGGATCACCAGGACCCTGCCACTATCCTAGCATCAGAACTTGCTACACGAGGTCAGGGAACAATCCTTTATCCACTTTTCCATTTCCAAGCTTTTGTAATTTTGGGGCTGTGTTTCTTACATGACATCTGAATTAGAGGAGGTTGTGCACTGGTGCTTGGATGCAGTGGTGGGGTGGATGAGGGAAAATAAGCTGAGCTTGAACTCTGGCAGCACAGAGACACTGGTTCCTGTGTGCAAGAAACTGATCAATTGCCTGCCCTGGATGGGTTTGTTGTTACATCAGGCAGATGACCCAACCATTGACATAAACCGACATTTACTGCATGAATGTAGTCTAATGGCTCAAAGTGAAAGTTCCATCCCTTCTAAGAAGGGAGCCATAGGAGGAGCGGCAGGCCAGAATCTCCACCACAGATTGCATCCACAGAAGTAGCTGGGGACACATGAATCTTCAGATACTGGCGTGGAAGATTCTTTCATTTGAAGGCGAAGAAAACAAAGGGTAAACCAAGGAAACATGTTGTAAAAGTTATTCAATACTGTCAGCATCCAGCATTCGCGATACTCAGTGAACTTAAGCCCATATGTTTCAATAGGTCAGCTCTGAGTACAACTTGGTTGGGTATCACCCTCTTTGTTTTTAAGCCTCTCTGGGAAGATTGGGCTGACCACTTCAAGGCTTCAGAAGACATAAATGCAAGGCAGCTATAATAAGGACCCCTTATTACCTGCCAGGTATATGGGATGGATAATCCCCTTGCGTGAGATGAAAAATGTCCACTGCAAAATGTAGCCCGACAATGAATTACCAGTGTTGCTGATTAAACACTCACCTGAGTGATGGCATCTAATTCTGCTAAAATGGCATCTTCATCTTCTACAGTGAAGCTGCCAGCCAGCATTTCATCTATTTGCTGCAAAGAAAAAGGGCAGAATGCATGGTGAACACCAGAATAGCACCATATCCTTAAGAATTGTAACATGGAAACACCTATGGGTCGGTGTAACATAGGAACATAGACCCAAAGCTACAAAATACTCCGCTGAAACCCAGCCACTTGGCACTCAAGCTATATTCAACTCCCTCCCTCTTTCTATGACAGTCTTCTTGACATGAACAAATGTCATCTCTGACCTGTTTAAGGTGCAATGACGAAGAACAGTTTAGTCTCAAGGTTTGCAATGCAGTATGTTAAAGCAAAATAGGGTCTCCACTCCTTTTCATAAGCAATTTAGGTGGCACAATTGAAACACTTTCAAGCATCCAAGTGGGTGGAATTGCTGTCATACAAATATAAGAATGAAGCAGTGCAATGGTTAAAAGGATCTCCATGATGATACACAGGGACAATACATACCCTCTGGTATTCCACAGCTTCCTGGGTTTCATCCATGATCCTTTCCACTTCTTCTATTGACATAACCTACAGGAAAAGAAGGTTGGTCAGAAGAGATGTCCCAACCAGTGTCCCATATGAAATAGTCCCAAGGACCCTGGGCTCACACTCACCTGGTGCATCTTATTTAAACACTCATTACCAATTTTGAGGCCCTCAATCACTTTCATCTCAATTTGTGTGAATTCAATATCCTGGACCTGAAGGAAACAGAAGTCAACAGAGGGGGTCAGCGAGTGCTGCATTTCATCAATATGTAGTAGGGAGAGTAGACAACCACAGCCACAGTAGTAGACAGTATGTTCTACATTCCATGGACCACCATAGAGCCAAATGGAAGAGGAACAGACAAAACTGGCTTGCAGAACACTGCAACACTGGCCGATATTACAGCTTAAAACATGACATAGCATTCGGAGCTCAGCAAAAAACAAAACAAAACAAAAAACAAAAAAACCCAACCAAAACAAAATACCACTTTAAACATTCATGGTGTAATCCAAGATGTCCAACTAATGCTAAGTACTAAGACAGCTTGAATTAGAAGTTAAGCACAATTAAACAAAATTTAGCAGCATACAGATATGACAGCTGTAAAAGCCCTGAAAACAATGACATTGGATGCCTCCATTACCATGCGTTCCAGGTTGCTAATTTGGTTTTCTGTCTTGTCTAGCAGTTGCTCTTGATACCGTTTTTTCTTCAGCAGAAACTTTGCTTTCCTAGGTGGAGAAAAAAAGCACTGGCTGTAGAAAACAATCCTTCAGACCAAAGCCATTTCTGCCTTGCCTTTCTGATCTTGATTTTTTTAAATAATAAAAAAAAACCCATTGATTCCAATATTCTCAGAAGCAAGGAATAAGTTAAAGATGGTCAGATAGGCTGCCTCAGATCCAGAAGTCCCATTTTTAGTCATTATGGCCAGCAATAACTAATATGTATATTCTTTACTTACTTGATCCTTAAAATTTTTATTAAAGCTCACGGCCATCACAATATTTAATTTTGCAATTATTTATTTTGCAACATGTGAAGTGCTTCCTTCCGCCTGACTGCAGGCTTAGGGCAATCCATTTCATTAGATGCCTAAGTCCTGGCATTGTGAGAAAGATTCATTATTTCTCTGCTGGTTGTGTCACATGAATGAAGCTGCCCATTATGTGACCGATCATCAAAAGGACTCCTCTCTCCAGCAGGATGCAATAAAGGAACATTTTAAGAACGCTCAGTAGTACCAATTTAGAAATTTTAACAAAGTTTATACAGCTTCAAATCACTCTTCTCTTGGCATGCATATCTATGGTATGATAAGGTTAAAGCGCATAAGGCCTTTAAAAACCATATTGTCAGAAAAGCACTGTATAATGTTTGGACTAGATATAAAGATCTGTTGGAAAATAAAACTCCAAGGTGGCTGTCACCTTTGGAGGCTAAAGCGGTGAAAAAACTTAATATGGAGGCCAGGTGGCCAAAGTATTGGGAAATTTTGGAACAAGAAGGGGATAAATTGAAATTACAGAGCCATGAGAAACTAAAAACAAAAGTACAAGATTGGCTCCATTATTATCAAATAATGGAGGTTTACAAACAAGACAGGAAAATTGGCTTCCAGGTGGAGAAATCAAAATTAGAAACAGAACTGCTAGAACCCAATGTTAAGAATTTGTCAAGAATGTATAACTTGTTGCTGAAATGGAATACACAAGATGAAACAGTTAAATCAGTTATGATTAAGTGGGCACAGGATATTGGTCATAATATTATGTTTGCTGACTGGGAATGGTTGTGGACCACCGGTATAAAATTTACAGCATGCAATGCCTTAAAGGAAAATATTATGAAAGTGGTACATGACCCCAGTCAAGCTAGCAAAAATATATCACTTGCCTGACAATAAGTGTTGGAAGTGTAAAGAAACTGAAGGTACTTTCTACCACCTTTGGTGGACGTGCCCGAAGATTAAGGCTTTCTGGGAAATGATATATAATGAAATAAAAAAGGTACTTAAATGTACCTTTCCTAAGAAACCAGAGGCCTTTCTTTTGGGCATTGTTGGCCAATTGGTGTCGAGGAAAGACAGAACTTTTTTTATGTACGCTACTACAGCAGCAAGAATACTCATCGCAAAGTACTGGAAGACCCAAGATTTACCCACTCTGGAAGAATGGCAGATGAAAGTGATAGACTATATGACACTGGCTGAAATGACCGACAGAATCCGTGAACAGGGGAAAGAGACGGCGGAGGAGGATTGGAAGAAATTTAAAGCTTATCTCAAGAAATACTACAAATTGGATGAATGTTAAAATGTTGAGGTTTTTGTAAGAAAAGGAGATTACAGCGACAAAAGATTAAGTAAAAGAAAAGAACAATAAGGGATAAATTTGTTAAAATTAAATTTAGGATTTGCTGAAACAAGTTTGGAAATTGGGATGTAGAAAGGGGAGGTTCGGGGGAGTCAGAGAAGTGAGGTCTATGAAAAAAGGAGAGGAAATTATACATGTTTGTTTGTTTCTTTATTTGTTTGTATTGTCTATAAAAATGTTGTAAAATTAATAAAAAATATTATAAAAAAAACAAAACAAATCACTCTTCTCACTGGAGTTAGGAGCACAGGAAGTGGCCTTATACAAAGTCAGAACAGTGATCTATCAAACTCAGTACAGTCTATACCAGGAATGGGGAACCTGTGGTCCTCCAGATGTTGTTGGGGTTATTTCTATCATTCATATACAATGCCCATAGTTCCTTGGACCATTGGATAGGCTAGATCAGGCATAGGCAAACTCCGGCCCTCCTGATGTTTGGGACTACAATTCCCATCATCCTTGAACACTGGCCCTGTTAGCTAGGGATGATGGGAATTGTAGTCCCAAACATCTGGAGGGCCGGAGTTTGCCTATGCCTGTGCTAGATGATGGGAATCAGAGTCCTACAACATTTGGAGGGCCACTGGTTCCCCACCCTGGTCTACTCTCACAGGCAGGATTATTTCCTTGCCCTATCTGGCCATGCCAGAGATTGAAATTGGGACCTTGTGCAGGCTACTCCACTGAGCTACAGCCTTTCCCTTATGTGTTATATCAATTCCTGGTACATTTAGTACCAAGGTAGCTCCTAGCCACGCCATGTTTCACTAGAGATGCCAAGGACTGAACCTGGAACCTTATGCATGAAAATATTCATTTTAGCACTGCATTATTACGCAGGCTGAGACAAGTTGGTTAGAATGCTTCACCAGCAACAACAGTATTCAGCTTAAATATTAAACCATGGCCAGTCAGAGACTTAAGGTTTCTACATGATGCACCTCAATTTCCTCCAGGGATGCATTTGTAAAGAAAGCTTCCCATAGGCAGTTTCTTCAAGCGTGGAAGTAAATGCTTCACGTGTTGTAATAATGGGAGTCATTCAGCTGTTATCAGTGGAATGCAATATGTCAATTCAAGCTTTTCCCATACAAGAGAGCCCACGGACAGTTGTGGTTCATCTCACTGAGAAGACCTTGACTTTCTGAACCAGCCCATAAGCTGAGCACCTCCGTATGGAAAGGGTGTAAAATGACTTGGAATGACTTACTCTTTCTTGCCATCTTTTAATAGTTGCCGAGCAAAAGCCCTCTCCCGCTCCAGCTGCAGCGATATCCTTTTCTGATATTGCTTTAGTTTGTCCCGTTGCTGTTTCAGTTGCTACAGGAGAAAATAAATTGGCCATTAGAAGGTGCACCAACAAGCCTTGCTAGGATGACCACTGGAAAAGAGAAACCAAAATCTCCCTTTAAGGCAGACCTGCTTATAAGCCCAGCAGCCTGATCCCTCAAACCTACTTTGTTATTCCCATTTTTGGCTTGCTGCAAAAACAGCAGAAGAAGCTGAAAGTTCCACCTTGCAAAGTTAAACACCAACTCATTGCCTTTGGCTCTCGGGTACGACACATCGTACCTCATGGGAGAGGTGGGAGAGAGACAATAAAAGTTTGAGAGTGTTTTACCATGTGTTTCCTCCTTCAAGTTGGTCAAATTGCTTTTGCTCTCAGGCCGCAGCACAATAAAACTAGCATCATCTATCTGATGATATTCCAGGCTTACAAAACAGTATGTGGAATTCAGATTTGGGGCACAATGTTCAGCTAGTGGAGAATGGGGATGTTGTATTCCCAGGGCAAAAGCTAGTGGAGGGGGGATGTTCAGATAGATGTGAAACCTTTGGCACTCCAGATGTTGCTGGACTCCAGCTCTCATCATCCTTGATGATTGGCCATGCTAATAACTAAAAGGCCATGGGTTTCTCACCACTGAGCTGCAGACTGGGCATTTATACCTTTTGTTAGTATGCAAACTAGGGACGCGGGTGGTGCTGAGGGTTAAACCACAGAGCCTAGGGCTTGCCGATCAGAACGTTGGCGGTTCAAATCCCCGCGACGGGGTGAGCTCCCGTTGTTCGGTCCCTGCTCCTGCCAACCTAGCAGTTCGAAAGCACGTAAAAGTGCAAGTAGATAAATAGGTACCGCTCCGGCGGGAAGGTAAACGGTGTTTCCGTGTGCTGCTCTGGTTCGCCAGAAGCAGCTTAGGCATGCTGGCCACATGACCTGGAAGCTGTACACCGGCTCCCTCGGCCAATAAAGCGAGATGAGCGCCGCAACCCCAGAGTCGGTCACGACTGGACCTAATGGTCAGGGGTCCCTTTACCTTTACCTTTTTAGTATGCAAACTAAATGAGACTATTAAGAACTAAATAAAAAAGTTGGGAAGCAGCTGGTTTAAAGTAAGAACTGTATTAAGGCAAAGACCCTCCCTTCAGTAGTTAAGGGACAGACACATTGCAATGCTTTACTGAGTACAGTTCCAATTCTGATGGCTACATCTAGCTTTTGACACCTCTACATTATTAGGGGCACCCTAAATATTAGAATGGATACTGCAGAGTAACCCTGAGACTTTGAACTTAAATTCAGTGCTGAATGCAAATCTTCAAAAACGTGACAAGTGAGTAGCCACAATGTTCTGTTTCTCGGCTAATGTTGTTCAATGTCTTTATAAATGTCTTGGTTGAAGGAATTGAGGGGGTGCTTATCAAATATGCAGATGACACCAAACTAGGAAGGGTAGCTAATACTGCAGAAGACGGAATCGGGGTTCTGACCTTAACAGATTGGAGAACTGGACCAAAAGTGAATTTCAGTAGGGACAAATGTAAGGTTCTGCACTTAGTCAGGAAGAACCATCTGCACAGAAGCTGGGTGGCCATTTGTTAGGTATGATCTAGTTGAGATTCCTGCACTGCAGGAGGTTGGTCTAGCAGCTGACCCCACCACCCGGGCTCCCTTCCAACTCTACAGTTTTATGATTCTATGATAGGGGACCCTGAGTGGAGCCGATCACCGCTGAAAGTGAGGCTGGCAATGGATGCCGAGATAGGAAGCATTTTCAAATGTGCTTGGAGAAAAATGCAGAAAACAAAGCCACAGATGGAATACACCAGATGCAGTGGCGAAATAAAGTGGTGTGATGACAAAGCAGCCAGTCCCTAGTATCTCCAGATAAGGGCTGTCTGAAATCCTGGAGAGCTGCCACAAGTCTATATACACCAGGGATGGGGAACCTGTGGCTCTCCAGATGTTGCTGGGACAACATGGTTAGCATGTTGGATGGTCCAAGATTATGGGAGCTGGAACCCAACATCTGGTGTGCCACAGGTTCCCCATCTCTGGTGCAGTTCAAGGAGTTGGAATGTGACAGGCTGCACACAGGCTCTTTTGTGTTGAAAACCCTGGTCTTTCTGACACTCAGAAAACTCTTCCACACTATAGACATGGTATTCAATCATTTGCAGATACCATGGGAGCACAATCCTAAACATGCTCGTTCATAAGTCGCTAACAGTTCAAAGGGACTTGAGAATGCAACCCTACTCCTTTCTCCATGTTGATGAATGGAGGTTGGTGAGCAGGATGGCACACAAAATCCTCTCCATCAGCAGGAGAAAGCACTGTGGGGGTGGGTGTCTCTAATGTAGTGGAGGCCTCAGCTTTCTCCATACTCCTGGAGATTGTTCTGCCACTAGCAAAGGGTTCTGAAAACTTTTCAGTAACTGTGTTTAGGATGCAGCTTGCACAACTGCTCTCCTATTTCACAAACTATGGCCAAGGACAGGGAACACATTTGTGGCTAAGATACTGACCTAGATATTCCAGCTCTATATAAATGATCATCCAGTGGTAACAGGGCATCTAAAGACTTCACCAGACAGAGCTCCCATCATTCCCAAAGCACTGTGACTTTATCCCCTCAGTCTGGGGGCATCTTATTTCAACCTCGAAACTTCTCATTCTACGTAGTGTGCTGCTATTTTATATTAGCCTTCTAAACGAACCCCCCCCCCCCAATGACGAGTCTGCATTTCTATCCTGGCTGCGAAGAAGGGAGAAGCATAGTGCTGATAATGACATGGTTGCAGGTTTGATCCGTGTATACGACAGCTGCATATTCTTGCATTGCAGGGGGGTTGGACTAGATGATCCACAGGGTCGCTTCCAACTCTGATTCTATGATACTCCTCCGCAGACAGTAAGGAAATGCAGGCAAATAACCTCTTCGGTAGTGGTTTTTATAACAGACTGGTGGAAGAGAGGCAGCACAACCGGAGACAGCACAACCTGTCCCTCTCCCAGCAGCTTGGTCATAGGCAAATAGGCTTTCCTTCCTCCACAGCTTGCCCAGGAACTAGGCAGGCTGGCAGGTGGAGCATTGTGGCCCCTTCTCCAACAGCCTGACCCCACGAACTCGCCTGCATGCAATTCCTGGTCACCTATGGCTGTTACTAGGCAAGCTGCTAAATTCAAGGCTGATTTTTTTTCTATAGTGCTTTGCTGCTCTTAAGTACCCGCCTGGGAGTATTTCCACCTGACTGCCAAAGTAATCCGGAACACGACAGCCAGCACCACGACTTCCGTTCGTCTTTCTTTTTCTTTTTAGAGAGAGAAACAGAAAGTGTTGCCAGTCCGAAAAGAAGCCGAAGTTCCTTTAACTTTCAACAGCTGTGTTAAGAAAGAGGTCTTTGGCATTCCCACCCCATTTAGGAGAAACAGCACCTGCCAAAAATCACTTTTCTCTCCCCCCCCCCAAACAAACTGCCGAAAAATAAATAAATACAGGGGAATTGGGCATGTCACATACGGCGGAAACATGGGTCTACGTGGGATAAATGCGGGTCCGGGCTCTGTCAAGGCACAGGGGCTCCTTTGCAGCACACGTTTGCTGGCTACCTTGCAGCCTTTTGCACTCAAGTCACAGGAACCTGCTCCTGCTCCTGCAGCCGCCGCCTTCCCTGCCTCCCAGCCCCTTCTTTGCTCTCACCAGCACGGCCTTATCTTGCTCGGTGACCCGGCTCCGCCGCTTGCGCCCGAACAGATTCCCCATCGCCCCGGCCCCGCCCGCGCGGCCCTGGCCTACATTGGCCCCACCCCGGCCCCCTCGGCTTCCGTACGGCGGCCGCGGAGGCTCCCGCTTTGCCGGATCGCGAACGCGGAAAGGAGGCGAGGAGCAAAAGTGACGGCTTTGGCTTATAGAGCTAAGGAAAATGTAGAGGAGCCCGCCGCCGCCGAGTTTCCTTTGTAGGGAGCTTCCGGGTGGTCATACAGACTAGCTCGCGGAACGCGCCTAACACTTTTTTTTTTTTACAGTATAAGTCTGCATGTCCACGGCTTCCCCCGAGAGAATCCTGGGAGCTGTAGTTTAACGGTGCTGGGAATTGTAGCCTACCCAGATGCTTGAGGAAATTTTAATCTGAAAAAATGTTTAGGGTACTCTTATTTTCCTACTCATATTGAAATACTGCCCCTCAATGAGGCCAGACTTAGATTCACAATGAACTTGCATGTGGTGCAATTTGGCCCAGCTGCTGTTGTGACATAAACTTCACCTTACCACAGCCTCTCCTTCCTTTTAAAAAGGCTGGGGCTGAACTTGAAGTGGGCAAGTACAATGCAGTTGTTCTCATCAGCTGAGGAGTAAAGCTTTGGTACTCTCCTGCCCCCAGCCTTAGTGTACCCCTGTTTCCCCCAGAAAAAAGCACTGTGTGTGTCACTGTTTTATGTTTTGTAAACCACTTTGAGAGCTTTTTTATTTTAAAAAAATCAAGTGGTGTATAAATTTTATTAAATAAAATAAACTTCTGCATACCACTGAACTCTCGCTCTGGATTTGAAGGGAGCTGACTGACAGGATAATTAAAGGGACTGACATTTACTACAAGAGGAAGGGTGTTTTGTTGCTTGGGGTTTGGGGCAAGGTAAAAAGGTAAAGGACCCCTGGACGGCTAAGTCCAGTCAAAGGCGACTATGAGGTGCGGCGCTCATCTCGCTTTCAGCCTGAGGAAGCCGGCGTTTGTCTGCAGACAGCTTTCCGGGTCATGTGGCCAGCATGACTAAATCGCTGCTGGCACATGGAGAAGGCAGAGCGTATGGAAACGCTGTTTACCTTCCCACCACAGCGCTACCTATTTATCTACTTGCACTGGTGTACTTTTGAACTACTAGGTTGGCAAGAAGCTGGTACAGAGCAACGGGAGCTCACCCCATTGTGAGGATTCAAACCGCCGACCTTCCCGTCAGCAAGGCTTGGTGGTTTAGACCACAGGGTCACCTCTAACCTGAACCATTAAGGCCGAAACATGCTTATTTCATTGTAAACCTTAGGCACCAGGCAAAAACATTCCTCTTTAGCCAGGCCAAATATAATCTATGGCCTGTGAAAGTGGGGGGGAGTGGACTATTATGATGATGATGATGGTGATTAGGCTGTCTGTCATTATGTTTTTATTATGTTTATATCACTGATGTTCTGTATTTATGTGTTTTTAATGTTGTACACTGCCGTTGGATCTTCTGATAAAGGGTGGTAAATAAATTGAATTAATAATAATAATAGTAATAATAATAATAAACTCAGTGATACTTACTTCTGAGCAAACATGCACAGCATCAGAGGACGCAAAGATGCCACAAGTCTTGCAAGCGGCAGCTCATCTTCTCCCTCTCAGTTTGGGGGGCAGTGGACCAAAGTGGCACAGACATTGTCAGAAACATGTTTTGTTTCTGAGTGGAGAGACTCACACTCGGGCACAGAAACATTAAAATGCTGTGGTCTCTACATGGACCTCTGTAAGCATCTATTACTTCCAACCTGGAGAAAGTGATGGAGAAGAACTCCCATTATAGATACAGATTTAGATATATAGATATAGAGTGAGAGAACTTGAGCCCCTGTCCTGTCAGTATCAACTAAATCCACGAGCTAGCCAACTAACAACATCGGGAGGGGAAAGAGGTAGTGCTTATCTCTAAACAGATAGAAAAAGGGACCAATAGGAGAGAGGAGAGTTTTGTCTCGAGGCTTTCGGTGAGCAGCTGGTGATTCCCACGCCTCCCACACGCCCGTGTTCCCGCGCCATCTTCTGTTGGCTTCTCAGAATTTGGTTTATTTTTTGGACGCTCCCTCCGCGCTAAAATAACTCTTTTTTTAAAAAAAAATGCCTCCTAGTTTCTTCCTCAGTTCCCCCAACCCCAACACCACCCCGGGTTTATTCCTGCCTTCTGTGAGTTTGCAAACAGCAGCGCCTCCGTGAGAGAACCTTTTCAGTCCTTCAGCCAAGGACCAATCGAGAAGGCTTGACGTAGAGACTGGGATTCACTGTGTTATCACCAATCTCTATCGTTGTGAGTGGCCTTTGGCTTCATATAGACTCGTATGGCTTATATTGTATGTACTTGTAGTTCTTGCATTTTATGGACATTTGGCTCCACTCTTTAAAAGAGGGATGTGTGTGTCTGTAAGGGCAGCTGTGGTCAGGGAACACATGCTCTGCATTCAGAAGGTCACTAAGGGCGGATAATCTTCTGGAGACAGAAATAAAGGAGCAAAATTGTAGTCTGTGAAGCTTTGCAGTGGGTTACAGCAGTGCCGGATTTACATATAAGGTAAACAAGCTATAGCTTAGGGCCTCACTCTCTTGGCCCCCACCCCCTGCAAAAAAATTCATTCTTAATATACTTCTTCTTAATTGTATCTCAGTTCAACAATTACTTTGATAAAATACATATTTTTAATGTGCAAATGGCTTTAGATACCTATTAGGTCCATAAATTACCGTATAGCATATATTCAACACAGAAAACAGCAACAATTTGTTGTTGACAAAGGACAGCTGGACATATAAAGGGCCCCATTACCTTCAGTAGTTTAGGGCTTCATCAAACCTAAATCTGGCCCTGGGTTACAGTGTAGTATTCTGCACACTCAGCACATGCTTTTTAATAAATGAAGCCTCCTAGGTCCACCCAACGTTACCTGAACTCTGGAGTCTTATTTTACCAGGCATGGCTAAACCTGCAATTGCCACATGGTTGGTTGCAAACCAATCCCAGAAAGTCAAGGGAGCAGAGCTGCCCCTCAGCTGTATTATTATGTCTAACCTGTCTACATATTTTTAAATTGTGGTAATAATAATAATAATATTTTATTTATACCCCACCCATCTGACTGGATTTCCCCAGCCACTCTGGGCAGCTCCCAACAGAATATTAATAATAAGAAAGCAACATAATAAAACATTAAAAACTTCCCTAAGCAGGGCTGCCCATATAAATGTTGGTTGCACTTCTTCCTTTTCCTAGTGGCAACTTGATCTAAAGCCCAGCCCCTGACAGTTGCTTAGCCCAGAGAGTTTTGCTTATTTCTTTCCTGTCTTTGTGCCTTTAAATGCACATGGTGATATGTAGTGCCTGTGCAATATTGGGCAAATATTATCAGGTTCACAATACTCCCATTTAAATATAGACAAATGTTCTCTTATAGACACTAGGAACTTGAACTTACAAGTGGCCTCTTCATAAATATTAGACGCTTGTGCATTATAATGAAGTATTATATTTTTTAAAAAAATGTTTATAATTTGCTCCAGTTCGTGCAGTTATGCAAAGGACATATACCCTTTCTTCCGTTAGGTGGCAGAATGGATCCATCATCATAACCTTTGAAATACCAACTACTGCAGCTCAGAAGCTGGAGTTTACTGCAGTGCTATTTGTAGCAAAGAATGGATCTGTGGCTCAGATGGACAAGAAATGGCTTATCTGCCAACAGAGATACAAAACCAACAAATTGTAAGTTTGCATAAAGGAATACAATGAAGTATATCAATAACGGAATCCCAGGATGGTGCCTATATCTGTGAATATTTGTTGCATTGGCAGGTGTGAAACAGAAGTTCATTCATATTGATTTAAAGCTTTTTCCACCAGATATCATTAGGAGGTTGAGATAATGATTGAATTCAAGCAGTCAGCATTGGCCTCTGAAGCCATTGGAGACTAAACTTATGGGGGGCTGTGCATATCCCAAAATTCTGCATTAGTGCAGGAAAAACAAACCCAAACATGGATTTTGGTACTGAGTGTGCAGAATTAAACATCCTGGGAATTTCAGTGTTTTTATAACAAGCAAGTTTCTAGTCCTTAGTGGGAGTGATGATAGGATTGTCTGTAAGTGGGCAGGAGCTGCTGAAATCTCCAGGTTAGAGCAGCAGAGCTTCAGTGCCGGGTGCAGTCCTTTTTTTCCCTCCTTGTGAAGCAAAATAAATAGTGCAAAGCACATCAGTATATAGAAATATGCTTAGAATTCAGGATAACGTGGTAGATAATTTTGAGTTTTGGAGATGGCACAGCCCTGAAAATGCCTACCAGCCTTCCATGTTACTTTATGCACAGAGGACCTAGGAAAAAGATCCTTTAAAATTATCAAGGATCCAATATCCCACACAAACTCCAACCCATGAGCTTTAGGAAAAGAGGTAGAGGAAGTATGTGCCTTCCTGTGGCTAGGTGAACTGAGGCTGCAGCCATATTTGCATTTATGTGAAAACTACCAGTTAGCAATGGTGATGCATGGAGATGCTTCCACTGGCAAGAGACTATGAGTGGTTTCTTATACATTTTTATTACGTAGCCCTAATTCTTCTCACTGCTGTAAACAGTAGTACAGTGGTAGCTTGGGTTACAGATGCTTCAGGTTACGTGTTTTCGGGTTGTGCACTGTGCCGAACCCGCACCGAACCCGAACGGGTTACTTCCGGGTTTCGGTGCTCACACATGCGCAGAAGCGCTAAATCGCACTTTGCGCATGTGCAGAAGCGCCGAATCACGACCCACCCGTGCACAGACGCAGCGCTGTGGGTTGCGAACGCTGCAGGGTTCACAACCCAAGGTTCAACTGTAATGCAGGTGGTAAAGACCAAAGAACAGCAACTCTTACCTTTTCCCCACCCCATCCCAGTGTCTGCTGTGGCTGCCTTTCTGTGTCGTTAAATAGTGCAAGAAGCAGCTTTGCCATAAAAATGGTGCTCAGAGGATATTATGTACACAGTATATTCTAGAGCAAGCTGAGGTGAAAGATCTCATACATATAAACAACCAATGCGGAGAA